TGAAAACAATAATTTATAATTTATCAAGGGGTCATGGGGGCAGAGAGGAGCTAATACCAATGGCTCAAAAGTAAATGTTTAGTAAATGATGATGGCAACATATGTACAAAAATACTTGATAAATTGATGTATGGAATGTTAAAAGAGCTGTAAAAGCCCCAGTAAAATTTTAATAAATAAATAAATACAGCATAAACAAAAATAAAATGAAAAATTTGAAATGAAATCAAATGTAATTAAAGACATTGTTCATTACCAATCATTACCAAGAAAAAACAAATGATTTTTTTCTTAGTACTAAAGAAAAATTAGCTGGCTATTTGTAAATGGAAGGCTATCAGTCTATTGATTTATTTAAACTTAAGAGCTCTCAAATTTTTTTTCAAATCTGAAATTATTTTTTTCCCTTTCAGACTAAGGTTTGTAAGTGAACAATGTACTCGCTGCCATTGAGTCAATTTTGATTCATACTGACTCTTAATACCACAAACAAACAACCTATTGCTTTGAGTGTTCATTCTGACATGTATCACAGTGTTCATTTTGACATATATTGCAGGCAAGCGTCCAGACTTCTAGGCTGGACTCTTAAAAGAAACAATTCACCAGGTCCTTTCTTTCACCAAGCCACTGGGTAGGTTCGAGCCACCAACCTACACCTTATAGCAACAGATTACAAATTGTGTGTGCCATCAGAGGTACTCCTTTGGTGAGAGATTGAAGGAGAAGCCAGCTACGTACTTTTCTAACACCCCTCTTTCCAGCCTCTAGGTTAAAGACTTGTACCACAGTTTGAAAATCTGTATGGCAATTCACAACAAAAACTCAGGAGCTGACTTCAAAAATGGCAGTAGGTAGCTTGCCAAAAACATTGAAAGAAAAGACATGAATATTCTGTGTCTGTAAACTGTGTAAACATGTAAATTGTATCTGATTGACAGTTTACTTTAAATTAGTGTAAAAATCAGAAGTGTCATACAAAATTACCTTATTTTTAATTTAAACTTTAATATTATTCAAAGATTGTCATTATCAAATCAATGAAGATGTGTTGGAGCCTCGTGTTACAAAACCTCAGTGTAATAATAGAGGCTTCTTTATAATTGAAAAAAAATCCTCCAGTTTTTAGTAAGCAAATGAATAGGTGTTGATTTCATGACCTCACTCATCTTCATCTAATTCTAAGACAATTTTTTTGAAACTATAAGTGCATTTTATTTTAGGGTGTTTTCTACTCTTAACATTGCTTGAGAATACGGGATAGTTCAATATTTGGGGAAAGGAGAACAAAAGTGATTTTTAATGTGTAATGGTCTCTAGAATTATGTTTAGAGATAAACATCTATAGAAAATATTAAAGATGTGGATTAGGTTTGTAGCTAAGATTTTACTATAGTACTCAGGTTCTTATTAAATTTTATTGGTATTTTTCACTAATTTATCTCTTCAACTGGAGAAGGAACTCTGGCGGCCTAGTGGTTATGAGTTGGGCTGCTAACTGCAAGTTCAGCAGTTTAAAACCACCAGCCACTCTGTGGGAGAAAAATGTGGCTTTTTACTGCCATCAATAGTTACAGCCTGAGAAACTCCATGGGACTGTTCTACCCTGTCCTATTACAAGGTTGCTATGAGTTGGCATCAGCTTGATAGCAGTGAGTTTGTTTGTTTGTTTTTGTCAACTGGAGAGCAAGACGACTTCCGAACCTTGAATTATTTTGAATTTTCAAAATTGTGCTTATCAAATAATGCTAGGTTCAATAAATGCTTGTTTATTAAAGAGCTGTATTTTGCTATGTAGCCTCGTAGTGTTCATCTTATTTGAAAGTAAAAATTCCCCCAAAGCATTCACTAGATAAGTTTTCTTTTGATGTGCATTTTAGAGTTAAGTCATCTGCAGTTTCTTAAAAAGGAAGCATAGACATTATTATCCATAGTGTTTTCAATTTTTTCATTAATTGTTAGCTGTGGAATTATTGTGTTATTTTCACAAACTAATTTCCCTTTTTATTAGTATATAACTTTGCCCTCCAGTTAGTGCACTAGTTTTCTGTAAATATCCATTTAAAATCACCCAATTGTGCTTTTACGCTGTTTAGGTAAAGAATATTAAACTTGGTGCTAAGTGAAAATACTCAGTTGGCCAGATTAAGATTTTTTTAAAGTTTTACTTATTAAAGAATAATAGGATTGGATGGGACTGCTCCAAGTTCCTTTGCTTTCTAGTTGTTGTATGTACTGCTGCCACATAAATATTTGTTTTAAGACACAGATCTTAAACACATTTTTCATAAACTTTCCTTAGCTGTCCATGGTTAAAAAGATCAAATTAAGTAATGGAACTAGTATTTAGTAAATACCCTGTGTTTGTTAGTCACTTCACATTTTTAAGATGATTTAGTTCTTAAATATGGTCTATTCATCATGATTTCTACTTGTGTTTGGTGCTTTAACACAATGTTTTAACAGACGTGAACCTAATACATGTTTACTTGGTAAATATAACATTAAGACTAACTGAGTTGCATCATGATATATAATCAACTTATGGAATATAAAAATATATCTGAACTTTTATTTTAAAATTATAATTTTATCAAAATTAGTGGTTAAATATTTGAAGTAAGAATATTTCATAGTACTGCTTTTGTATAGTCTGCATGCAGTATAATCTATTACTGTCTCATTTATCAAAATGATTAGGTTCCAATGACCAGATCATTATATGAAGATAGAGGATAATCATATCAGATCACAAATTTGTGGATGTTCAATCATTACATAAACTGCCAAATTATAACATAAAATAATTGCCAAACCTCTGAGAATCATGGCCCAGCCAAGTTGAGCCATAACTGTAATCATGAAAGCCAATTCTTTTTTTTTTTTAAGATAAAGCATCATTTTTAATTGATAAATGATATTACCTGAAACAGATTTACATTCCAATTAGTATCAAAAGTATTAAAATTCAAAACCCTTAAGAAATCTAAAAAGAAATTTGCAGAAACACAGGAGACATTACTACATCTAAGCCACTCTTTAATTGCTAAATAGGCTAATTAGAATTTTAATTTAATAAATAATAAGGTACATTATTGTATACTAACCAAGAGCTCTCTTTTTAAAAATAATTTTATTAGGGACTCATGCAACTCTTATCACAATCCATACATACATCAATTGTGTAAAGTGCATTTGTACATTCATTGCCCTCATCATTCTCAAAACATTTGCTCTCCACCTAAGCCCCTGGTATCAGCTCATTTTCCCCCTCCCTCCCCACTCCCCCCTCCCTCATGAACCCTTGTTAATTTCTAAATTATTATTTTGGCATATCTTACACTGTCCGATGCCTCCCTTTACCCACTTTTCTGTTGTCCATCCCCCAGGGAGGAGGTTATATGTAGATCCTTGTAATCGGTTCCCCCTTTCCACCCCACCCTCTCACCACTAGTCCTGGAGGGATCATCCGCCTTGGATTCCCTGTGTTTCCTTTTCCTATCTGTACCATTGTACATCCTCTGGTCTAGCCAGATTTGTAAGGTATAATTAGGATCATGATAGTGGGGTGGAATAGCATTTAGGAACTAGAGGAAAGTTGTATGTTTCATCGTTGCTACACTGCACCCTGACTGGCTTGTCTCCCCGTGACCCTTCCATGGGGGATGAAGGCTCCAACTCTTAACCTTGTACCTTGACACTAGTCATATATTTTGGGGTCTGAGTTGAAAATAATACATATGTAAATACAGTTTTGCAGTGTTTTGAAGTGTTAGGATGTTTTTGATTTACTGTCAGATGAAGAATCTCCAATATAACATTTTTCTAAAAGACTGGTTTCATGTAAATAAGCTATTAAATTGTGTGCAATTTTTAAAGGTTATTTAATATTGCTCTTATACCAAATAATTAAAAATAATTTGTCTCACAGATCTCTTACAAATATTTAGCATGATGCTATTCAAAATGTGGCTCATAAACTCTGCAGCTACCGTGAAAGATAAAATCCAGAAATCACAAGAGAATTTAGGAACATTTTGACATTTGTGTCTCTTGAGTCGGATAAAAAGTTGGGGCTTGGACTTTGTTTTATTTTTGTTTGTTGCAGCTTATAAAATTAGCATTCCATTTAAAAATAAAAATTAATTGTTCATAAATTTGAAAGCATTGAGGAGCGTTGGTGGTGTGGTGGGTTACATGTTGGGCTGCTAACTACAAAGCCAGGAGTTCTAAACCACCAGCCACTCTGTGAGAAAAAGATGAGGCTTTCTACTCCTGTAAAGAATTGCAATCTTAGAAACCCACAGGGTCAGTTCTACCTTTCCCTTATAGGGTCACTATGAGTTGGCATTGAATCAGTAGCAGTGAGTTTGGTTTGATTTTAGATTTAGTGAAATACTATCATTTGTTAATTGTCCATTGTTTCTATTTCTTTATTGAATATTCTAAATTGTTTTAGGAACATAAATTTGATAGGTTTTACAGAAATATGTAGGAACCTTTAAGAACATATGTATATATACACTTATATATTTTTTTTCTTTTTACTACTTTCCATTTTAGGAAACAAAGTTTAATAAACCCTGTGATAGGAACACTAATTAAAAAAAAAAATCCAGGTTTTCTATTTCTTAAAAGTTGTGAGGACGTTACTAAGGCCATTATAACACTTTTGTTATCATCAAACATAGCCTTCACTCAAGGAAGAGAAAGGGGGAATGTATTATTTTTTTTCTAACTCATAAGCAATAATTTGAAGCAAGATTTGGCTGATAAGGGACTATTTAAACATTTTTGAAATATATTTAATTTTTACAGTTTTGTTTAGTTTGCTTTCAATGTTTTTTTTGCTTTAAATTTTGAGGTCATTTATAATCAAACTTACGGTGATTTCTTAAAGTATGTGTAACATAGAAAGTTATTGTATGGTGGTTTGATTTGAGTTTCTTTAATATGTATAATTTATGATTTAAGATTTGTTCTTTTTTCTCCCTTTGTAGGAAGATGATGGATATGATTTGGAAGACCCTTCTGCACAGAAATGCGGAAAATACAAAGAACCAAATATTGTTCTGAAATTTGGGATCTGTATTTTGAGATTATTTTATTTTCAGAATGAGAGGCACAACCAGTTACATTTATGAATGTAGAGACATTAGAAGAGAGTTATGATGGCAAAAAACAGAGAGCCTCGTCCCCCATCCTATACTATCAGTGTAGTTGGACTTTCTGGAACTGAAAAAGACAAAGGTAACTGTGGAGTTGGAAAATCATGTTTGTGCAATAGATTTGTACGCTCAAAGGCAGATGAATATTATCCAGAGCATACTTCTGTGCTTAGCACAATTGACTTTGGAGGACGAGTAGTAAACAATGATCACTTTTTGTACTGGGGTGACATAACACAAAATGGTGAAGATGGAGTAGAGTGCAAAATTCATGTCATTGAACAGACAGAGTTCATTGATGACCAGACTTTCTTGCCTCATCGGAGTACGAATTTGCAACCATATATAAAACGTGCAGCTGCCACTAAATTGCAGTCAGCAGAAAAACTGATGTACATTTGTACTGATCAACTAGGTTTGGAACAAGACTTTGAACAGAAGCAAATGCCTGAAGGGAAGCTCAATGTGGATGGATTTTTATTGTGCATTGATGTAAGTCAGGGATGCAATAGGAAGTTTGATGATCAGCTTAAATTTGTGAATAACCTTTTTGTCCAGCTATCAAAATCAAAAAAGCCTGTAGTAATAGCTGCAACTAAATGTGATGAATGTGTGGATCATTATCTGAGGGAAGTTCAAGGATTTGCTTCTAACAAAAAAAATCTTCTTGTAGTGGAAACATCAGCACGATTTAATGTTAACATTGAGACTTGTTTCACTGCACTGGTACAAATGTTGGATAAAACTCGTGGCAAGCCTAAAATTATTCCGTATCTGGATGCTTATAAAACACAGCGACAACTTGTTGTTACAGCAACAGATAAGTTTGAAAAACTTGTGCAAACTGTGAGAGATTATCATGCAACTTGGAAAACTGTTAGTAATAAATTAAAAAATCACCCTGACTATGAAGAATACATCAACTTAGAGGGAACAAAAAAGGCCAGAAATACATTTTCAAAACATATAGAACAACTTAAACAAGAACATATAAGAAAAAGAAGAGAAGAATATATAAATACTTTACCAAGAGCTTTTAACACACTTTTGCCAAATCTAGATGAGATTGAACATTTGAATTGGTCAGAAGCTTTGAAGCTAATGGAAAAGAAAGCCGATTTCCATCTATGTTTTGTGGTGCTAGAAAAAATACCTTGGGATGAAACTGACCACATAGACAAAATTAATGATAGACGAATTCCATTTGATCTCCTGAGCACTTTAGAAGCTGAAAAAGTCTATCAGAACCATGTACAACATCTAATATCAGAGAAGAGAAGGGTAGAAATGAAGGAAAAATTCAAAAAGACTTTGGAAAAAATTCAGTTCATTTCACCTGGGCAGCCATGGGAGGAAGTTATGTGCTTTGTTATGGAGGATGAAGCCTTTAAATATATCACTGAGGCTGATAGCAAAGAAGTATATGGTAGGCATCAGCGAGAAATAGTTGAAAAAGCCAAAGAAGAGTTTCAGGAAATGCTTTTTGAGCATTCTGAACTTTTTTACGATTTAGATCTTAATGCAACACCCAGTTCAGACAAAATGAGTGAAATTCATACAGTTCTGAGTGAAGAACCAAGATACAAAGCTTTACAGAAACTTGCACCTGATAGGGAATCTCTTCTCCTTAAGCACATAGGGTTTGTTTATCACCCCACTAAAGAAACGTGTCTTAGTGGCCAAAACTGTACAGACATTAAAGTGGAGCAGTTACTTGCCAGTAGTCTTTTGCAGTTGGATCATGGCCGCTTACGGTTGTATCATGATAGTACCAATATAGATAAAATCAACCTTTTCATTTTAGGAAAAGATGGCCTTGCCCAAGAACTAGCAAATGAGATAAGGACTCAATCTACTGATGACGAGTATGCCTTAGATGGAAAAATTTACGAACTTGATCTTCGACCACTTGATGCCAAATCGCCTTACCTTTCAAGCCAATTGTGGACTACTGCCTTTAAGCCACACGGGTGCTTCTGTGTATTTAATTCTATTGAGTCACTGAATTTTCTTGGGGAGTTTATTGGAAAACTAAGAACTGAAGCTTCTCAGATCAGAAAAGATAAGTACATGGCTAATCTTCCATTTACGTTAATTCTGGCTAATCAGAGAGATTCCATTAGTAAGAACCTACCAATTCTCAGGCACCAAGGGCAGCAGTTGGCAAATAAATTACAGTGCCCTTTTGTAGATGTACCTACTGGTACATACCCTCGTAAATTTAATGAAACCCAAATAAAGCAAGCTCTAAGAGGCGTATTGGACTCGGTTAAACACAATTTAGACGTGGTGAGCCCAGTTCCCACCAATAAGGATGTGTCAGAAGCTGACTTGAGAATTGTCATGTGTGCCATGTGTGGTGATCCGTTTAGTGTGGATCTTATTCTTTCACCTTTCCTTGATTCTCATTCTTGTAGCGCTGCTCAAGCTGAACAGAATAATTCCCTAATGCTTGATAAAATCATTGGTGAAAAAAGGAGACGAATACAGATCACAATATTATCTTACCATTCTTCAATTGGAGTAAGGAAAGATGAACTGGTTCATGGGTATATATTAGTTTACTCTGCCAAACGGAAAGCATCAATGGGAATGCTTCGAGCATTTCTGTCAGAAGTTCAAGACACCATTCCTGTGCAGCTGGTTGCAGTAACTGATAGCCAAGCAGATTTTTTTGAAAATGAGGCCATCAAGGAGTTAATGACAGAGGGAGAGCACATAGCAACTGAGATCACAGCAAAATTTACAGCGTTGTATTCTTTATCTCAGTATCATAGGCAAACTGAGGTCTTCACTCTGTTTTTCAGTGATGTTCTAGAGAAAAAAAATATGATAGAAAATTCCTATTTATCTGATAATGCAAGAGAATCAACACATCCAAGTGAGGATGTTTTTCTACCATCTCCCAGAGACTGTTTTCCATATAACAACTACCCCGATTCAGATGATGATACAGAAGCCCCTCCTCCATATAGTCCAATTGGGGATGATGTCCAGTTGCTCCCAACAACTAGTGATCGATCCAGATACAGATTGGATTTGGAAGGAAATGAATATCCTATTCATAGCACCCCAAATTGTCATGACCATGAACGCAACCATAAAGTGCCTCCACCTATTAAACCTAAACCAGTTGTACCTAAGACAAATGTAAAGAAACTGGATCCAAACCTTTTGAAAACAATTGAAGCTGGTATTGGTAAAAATCCAAGAAAACAGACTTCCCGGGTGCCATTGGCACATCCTGAAGATATGGATCCTTCAGATAACTATGCGGAACCCATTGACACAATTTTCAAACTGAAGGGCTATTCTGATGAGATTTATGTTGTCCCAGATGATAGTCAGAATCGCACTATTAAAATGCGAAACTCATTTGTAAGTAATACCCAAGGAGATGAAGAAAATGGATTTTCTGATAGAACCTCAAAAAGTCATGGGGAACGGAGGCCTTCAAAATACAAATATAAATCTAAAACCTTGTTTAGTAAAGCCAAGTCATACTATAGAAGAACACATTCAGATGCAAGTGATGATGAGGCTTTCACCACGTCTAAAACAAAAAGAAAAGGAAGGCATCGTGGAAGTGAGGAAGATCCACTTCTTTCTCCTGTTGAAACTTGGAAAGGTGGTATTGATAATCCTGCAATCACTTCAGACCAAGAGTTAGATGATAAGAAAATGAAGAAGAAAACCCACAAAGGAAAAGAAGATAAAAAGGTAAGCTTAATTTATAAACTGATGTTTATTATAAAGATGTTTTTGGTTTTGCCTTTTGTTTTATTTTTGGTTTTGCCTTTAAAAAATGTTTTTTGTGTATGCATGTTTTTTGTAAGAAAATAGATCAACAGTGAGAGCTAAGACTGTCAGTTCTAATTTGGTGAGATTAGTTAGCTCTTTATGAATTAAGTAGTTCTTTTGTAGTAAAAGATTACTGGCTTTTGTTTGCTTGTTCTTTATCCTATTTGAACTGGAAGCTTGATTTTACATTTAGCATCAAATTTGAATTGTACATGTTTATTTTATTTACTGAAATCAGGATGCATTATTTTGTTTTTTTCCTATTTGTCTATCAGCATTTTTTACCTGTTCTTTTATTAGGTCTTCCAGGTTTGTGATGTTTATATTATTTGTTACACCCGCCTTACTTGAGAATAATAATTACAGTAAAACCATAATAATTTATGGTCCTAGAATCACAGCTTTTCTAGGCATCATCTTTGTGATGGGCGGTTAATACTACTTTAAAAAGCATGTGAACGGGTTTCTAAAATTTGCAGAATTCTGATCCAAGAGGTAGTTTTCATCTTTTAGTTTTTCATTTTCAAGTCATTTTTATGATGGATCTATATATGTATATGTGCTTAATTAATACATATTAATGTTATATTTAAGAATTTTTCATCCGTTTTCAAAGTGATACTTCAGTAATTTCACTTCTACCTTTTGGAACAAAATTGTACACAAGATTTTAATTCTAGGATCCTTTAAAAGAATATTCTTTTTAATTCATCATTGATAATTTCTTCATCATTGTCTTTATCTTAGAAATGATCCATACATTTTTGTTAAAGCTACCTACTGTTTGTCATATTACTTAGAGATTATTATAGATATTCTTTAATTCGGTAACTGTATTCTAGTTTTCCTACATAAGACAGGTTTCATGTATTTAGCAACTGTATATACTATTATGGTTGTATAGATTCCATTTACTTGTCTTAAGTTGCAATGTTTCCTTTTATATTAACTATTTTCTTAAGTATGGGTATCTTAAGTCACTTTAAGAAGACTTATCTAGATTAATTGCAGATTTTTTATTAATTTACAACATACTCTACCAGCAGTAAACATCGTTGGCAGTATTTCTCACTAGCCTGTGATGTAGTGGGTTATGCGTTGATATGTTAACCAAGGTTAACAGTTCTAAATCACTAGTTGCTCTGCGGGAGAAAGATGAGGCTTTCTACTTTCATAAAGATTTGTGGTTTCGGAAACCCACAGGGGCAATTCTGCTCTGTCTTATGACCCGGAATTGACTCAAAGGCAATGAAAGTCCCATCTACATATGTTTCCACTCTCAGAAGACGTCAGTATTTTTGTCTATATATTTATGACATTCAAAACTTAAACTTAACAGCAAGAAAGCAATCACAGTCTTTTAAGTTGCTTTTGTTGGGCATTATCTTTCCGTATCTGATCACAAGCCTACTTAATTGTTTTGGTAACATTTTATTTTTATTTAATTGTAAGAGGTGTAAAAGGAACAGTATTTACCCTTTACTCAGTTTTACTAATAGTTGACATTTCACCCCCATTTGCTTCATTAGTGTTTTGTGTATGTGTTTATTGACTTTTTTGTCAGCCTTTTGAGAATAAGTTAGAGACGTTGAATTCCCCCCCCCCCAAATATTTCATTACTTAAGAACAAGAAAGTTCTATTACATTCTATTACATAGCCACATGACAGTTAATCATAATTAGAAAATATAAATGATAATATGTTCCTTACGTTAGCGGAGCAGTTCTCAAACCTGTGGGTCCCAACCCTTTCAGGGGGTCAAATGACCCTTTCACAGGGGTTACCCGATTCATAACAGTAGCAAAATAACAGTTATGAAGTAGTAAAAAAATAATTTTATGGTTGGGGGTTCACCACAACCCGAGGGAACCTGTATTAAAGGGTCGCAGCATTAGGAAGATTAAGAACCATTTGTTAGAGGGGCAGAGGAAAAAGAGGAAGGCTCTCAAAATTGATTGAGTGGGTGCCACAATGGGCTTAAGCATAAGAACAATTGTGTGAAAGGTGCAGGACCGGACAGTGTTTAGTTCTGTGCATAAAGTCTCTGAATCAGAACCAATTTGATGGCACTAAACACCACCATTATTTAATGCATAAACCTTGTTCAGTTTTGTATATGTTTCCAGTAATATCATTTAGATGTTTTTCATTTATTATGAAAGTTTGCATTGCCACTTAGGTTCCTATTTTAAAAATTTTGATACAAATTACTTAGTGATACTGGTTACACTTTTCATAATCATCATCCTCAGTCAATCCATTCTGATTGTATCACTTCCAGTACGCTAGTTTCCTTGGTCCTTTACAGTTTTTATCTTTGCTTAAGAGTGAATTTTGACCATTTGTTCACCTATAGAAGCTTTTGGAAGGAGCTCATTACTTGTCATACTCTTTATTTTATAAGCCAACCTGTTATTTTGTTAGAAGGTAACCTCCAGGATAATTTAGATTTAATGTTTAGAGTATCTCCACTAAGTCTCCATTAAATTCAGTAAGTGTGCCTGCTTACGAATTTGAATTCTGTTGCACATTTTTTCTTAGTTGGTATTGGTAGCTACATACCATCTAGTTCTTCCTAGATAAAGCTATGGTTCTTGTAGACTGTTAATCCTATAGTAGACTTTCATTTTCTTCTTTCCCTTTTGTTTCTGGCAAAAAAAGAGACCAGTAATTGTATCCTAGATGACCTCTTTCAAACCCTTAAGACCTCAGACACTACTCAACACTTTGGGATGTTGAACATGAACTTTATGCTGAGTTGTCCCAAGAGTCAGTGTTCCTAAACCTTTAAACCCAAAGAGCCAATCTTGTGAAGTACTTGGTTATGTTTAACAAGTTGTGTTCCTTATGTAGTTTATTGTATATATGATTGTGTATGCATGTACACACATACCTGTGTATGCATGTGTCCATTGTTTGTACACACATGTACCCAGACATACCTGTACACATTAATGCATGCATACATATGTGTGTAAACACACATTTTGGGGGGTTGTTGATGTGTCCTTTAAATCTTTGTTTTCTCTGCTTTTTATTTAGTATCACAGTGTGGTCAGCTGCTAACCAAAAGATTGGTAGTTTGAGTCCTCATGATAAAAAAAAACTCTGGCAATCTGCTCTTGAAAAGATTTGTTAAATGTGTTGAGTTCATTTTAACTCATCTCATTGCCATTGGGTCGATTCTGACTCATAGTTACCCTATAGGACAGAGTAGAACTGCTCCTGTCCAGATCTTTGCAGAATTAGACAGTTTTATCTTTCTAACACAGAGCAGCTGGTGGTTTTGAACTGCTGACCTTGCAAGTTAACACCCCAACCCAAAATGTACTATGTCACCAGGGCTCTGTTATTCTAACTTATCACTGCCATCAAATCAATGCCAACCCATAGCAATCTTGTAGGACAGGGTAGAACTGCCCCTGTGAGTTTCTGAAACTAACTCTTTACAGGCGTAGAAAGTTTTTTTCTCACAGAGCTGGCTAGTGGTTTCGAACTTGTGGTTATCAGCCCCACACATAACCACGATACCACCAATGTGCCCTTTCTAACTCATAGTGACCATTTAATAAAACTTCAAAACAGATCCATTGCCACTGAGTTCATTGTGACTCACAGAGGCTCTATTGGGTTTTTGTGCAGGAATAGACAGCCTCATATTTTTCTCCCATAGAACAGCTGGTGGGTTTGAACTGCCAATCATATGATTAGCAGCCCAATGCCTAACTTCAATAGCTAGAGTAAATGTGCCACATCAGGTGTCTTAGATTAACCTTTAAGGGAGCAGATCACCAGTTCCTATTTTCCCTAGGAGCTGCTGGTGGGTTCACACTGCTGACCTTTTGTTAGCAGCTGAGTACTTACTGTACCACTAGGCTCCTAAAAAATTCTTTTGGGGCAATTCTACTCTTATATGGGGTTGCTATGAGACAAAAATTGACTTGATGGCACATAACAACAACAATAACGTATATATGTTCTGTGTATTTTTTACCTAATCATTAAGTACTCTTCTGTATTGCTGTATAGTTTTCCAAATAAAATTTTAATTATTATATAATTTTCATCTTAGCAAGTATATAAAATTGGGATGGTTAAGTTTCTAAGGTTTTATTATTGCTATCATTTTATGCAGTGATCAATTTGCATAAAATGTGTTCCTTTTGAGTTGTCTATGATAATGTACTACAGTGGAATCACTAGATACAAAAGGCAAAATATTTCAGTGATTCAATGCATAATATTACTACAGTTCTTTTATGGTCTGTTCTAAGCTATCAGCAACTTGAAAGGAAATAAAATGCCAAATTTATATTTATACTCAAAGTTTAGCATAGTTCCAATTTTTTTATTGACAGTAAAAAATATACCTTATATTGAATGTTAAGGCTACTTTATTTGAATTCCATTTACTCAGCCCTTGTAGTCACTTGGTATAGTTCACTGATTCTAAAATTCAGTTTAGTTTTTCTACCACTTATCTCTGAAATCTGATTGTGTATAGCTGTTAATTTTGGACCATATGTTAAATGACAAGGATTTTTTTTTAAGTGGTACATAAAATAATTGTGCATCTTAGATTCACAGAAATACAGTAATTTGTGTTTAGTTTTTACTATTCCTAGCCACATAGACACATGGGAACTAACATCAGAACTAGATTCTCTTCCTCCACAATTACGTTTGATTCCACTCTGTACTGCATATTTATGTCTCTCTTCATTTGATGTCTGCCTCATTTAAACTAAGGTCAGCTCCTGGGTTTGAGTCATATGCTGTTAATCTTTCCATTAATTTAGCTAAGAGTAGTATCGTAACTTAAAAAGCGATTTCAAAATTGCCTGGATTTTAAAAAATTTTGCTTTAATTATTAAATCCATGCTATGCTGTTTGAACCTTACAAGAAAATTATAGAAAG